ACAGTAAGAGCAGGAGTTTACACTTGGCATTACCAACACAATCTCCATGTAGTACTTGAGTTTAGAGTTCACTTCCCTGCCTCACTTCCACATGAACGCCTGTGTGACAAACTATTTTGTAATTTGTGTCTTTATTTTGTATGAATACTCAAAAATGTTTTTGTGAAAGAAGTGATTTTTGAGGATGTCCCTAAATTTGCCACAAGGGGGCCCTCTGTGCACGAGATATGCCTACACTTCTGCAGGCTTGTGATGAAAAGATGCAGACCAGGCAATGTTTGAATTGTTGCAATGCTTTAATTATCTGTATCTGCCCTGTCTCTCCACGTAAAGCATGCAAGACTGATAAACTATGGAGGAAACTGAGGTCTGGCTCTGCAGGGTGACTCTCTCCATAATTGGAGAACTGGCGCCCCCGTGTGGATCATATAGGAATGCCCCTGTTTAAAGGCCCAATATTATCAGAGACCAACGGCTGTGAAAGTTATGAGTATGTCAAAGACACAAGAAACAGTTTGGAGTCTTAAACTACAAAGCTAATGAAATCACCTCTCTGAAATTGAAATACTGAAGGAGAAAGGTTATAAATAAAAAAAAGGAGTTAAGTGTTCAGATATTTTCTAGAAACTAACAGCTATGAAAGTTGTGAGAGTATGTCAAAGGCATGTATACTGTCAGGTTGAGTAATTCTAGGACACAGAAACATGAGATGGTTATAGTTACTTATTGAATGACACAAACAGGGAAACAGCAACACACCACACAGAAACAATGAAGAAGAGGCACAGCTGAGATCATGACAAAGAAGCAGTTTGGAGTGAATATATAGGCCTACATTTATGAGAGAGCTACTCAATTCCTTTTTCAATGTGCACTTTGTGTTAAATGTAACAGTGTTGTTCCTTCTTCTTTATTTGTTTACTTGTTTCACTTTTATTTGTTAGTTTGTTAACACTTGTTGGACTGACAGTAACTGAGCCACATTAAGATAAAGAAAAATAAACTAGAAAACGTTTAGTCAAAGCTGCCGGTCCTGCTGGTCCTCCTCTCGTCCGGGTGAAACTGAGTAACCATGGCAACAGAAATGCATCACTGCTGATCCGTGGAAACAGACAGTTTCAGTTCTCAAGATACACATGTGAAAGTCTTACTGTGCTGAGCATGACTGAGTAACAAGAAGCTGCAGCAGTTTTTCTAAGAACACATTCAAAGATACGGATCACGATACTTATTTTCACAAGTCTGGCAATAAAAATGCAAAATATCATGTTTTCTTTTTTCATAATTCTTTTTAATTTTGAGGTTATCACTTATAAAACAATGCACATATTTTCTTTATAAAAAGTGACACTGATGACATCTTACAAAAAAGACAGTTTGGGAAGATAAATTCTACATAGGCCTAATGGATTTCGAATCAAATCCTTAATGTTTGAAACAGATAGAGCAAATCTCTTCAAATACACAGAGTTGATGTTTGTTATTCTGGAAGTGAAGCAAAGAAAGCTTTGAAAAAACACTGGATTATCTCAGATTTGAGTCAAATAATGTACGTTTTCAGTCACATTTTTGAATCGTTGGGGTCATGACAACAGGCTCCATGTTTAAATCATGAACCCAAATCCTTTGTAAAAAAAAGTACTGCATATATATTTAATCTAATCGATTTAAATTGTCCATATCTCTATTGATCTTCTTTTTTTAAAAGGTTTTTTATTGATAACCTCGTGTGTTTTTTAATATTATGTTTATCTTTTATCATACTGCATTGATCATTACATGTATTGTTATGTATTGTTATAAACTCTAATATTTAAAATCATCCACTGAAGAGAAAATTCCTCATCAAGCTTGACAAACTCTTTTAATTTTAAATTCATATTTTTTGTATAGTTTGCTTGAGGTAGATTTACATATTTCGCTTCAGTTGACTGACTCTGTGTGTTTGCATATCTGTCCTCCCTCTCTGCTCTCGGACGTTAAGAGGCCGGTGTCGATCAGCGGCTGTTTGAGGCCTTTCAGAGACGCTGACATACGATGATGATGATGATGTCATTGATTCTACACCTGGTCACCTTTGGGCTCCTTGTTCATGGTGAGGCCAGGTTCACTACAATAATCACTGTTATGGAGAAAAACTTAAAGAAGCAGCATTTACCTTTTTTCCACTGTTTCTCTAAAGTTAAGAAAGCAAAGATTCTGTTTGGATGTTGTTCATCTTTCTCCATCTGTTTCAATAACCTTCTCCTCTTTTTTCATGTTTCTTCAGGTTCATCAGGAGACATCCTCCTGACTCAGACTCCTGGATCTCAGTCTGTTGTTCTAGGACAGACTGTCTCTATCAGATGTCAAACCAGCACAAGTGTTAGTGCTTACCTCCACTGGTATCTTCAGAAACCTGGAGAAGCTCCTAAACTCCTGATTTATTATTCTACAAGCCGTCAGTCTGGAGTTTCTACTCGTTTTAGTGGAAGTGGATCTGGAACTGACTTCACTCTGACTGTTAGTGGAGTCCAGACTGAAGATTCAGGAGATTATTATTGTCAGCAGGGTAGCAGCTCCCCGTTCACACAGTGATACAACGTCGTACAAAAACCTCCGTCAGCTGAAGAGGAACTGATCTGACTGAACAGCTGCATAGTAACAGACGCACTTTATAAGTTTGTCTGCTAACTAGCTCCATAAAACAGAGAACAGTTTATAGTATAACTGTGTTTATTGATAAGTTTGTTTGAAAAGAGCATTAAGAATATAAGTCTAAACAAATTACATTCACTGTAGATAAGCTGCAAAGTGAACACGTTCATAAAGTGACCCAAACGTTAAAAACACTTCAAATAGATTCATACTTTTTTACAGATTATATTTGGAGGTTTTCAAACATCATGCTCCTGTTCTAAACATTCAGAGCATAATGTGTAGTCTTTACTGGCTCACAATTAACCTCCCACTCCTCCCAAACACGTGACCATCCATGGACATAGAGATTGTGAATAATAATAATAATAATAATATTTTGGACTATATAAAGAACACATACTGGGCCTTTGTACCATCAGAGTTGGTCCATATTAACCCCTGCAGATCCCTTAAAAACAAAAAATTGTCACAACCTTTTAAGATTATGTCAAGCATGACCTGAAACCATATAAAAAATTAAAACTTCTCATATTCAAATTAGTTTTCAACACATTTTGAATCAGCTAAAAATCAGCCATTTTCTCAGAACATTTCCATAGAGAGCCACTTTGCATCAGCAGCACCATGCTCCAGTGCTCTGGGAGACTTTATAGTCCTGACAGTTGAACACTGGATGACTGACAGCTGTCCTTCATCACAACAGAAATCCTCGTCCTCATCATCAAAAACATGACTTTGATCTGCGTCCTCATCTGGACTCTCCTCCTCTGCTGCTGCTTCACAGGTAAAGTCCAGAGAATCAAACTCCTCTCCTCTATGAACATCCGTCCCTCTGAAATGAAGCCCACTAAACCCTGATGCTGCTTTCTGTTTTGTCTCTGTATCCTCAGAGTCCAGAGGACAGGTCACAGTGACTCAGCCTGCAGCAGTGAGCTCTGCTCTGGGAGCCTCCGTCGCCATCTCATGTAGAACCAGTCAGAATGTTTATGTCTATAGCAGCTCCCACTACTTAGCCTGGTACCAACAGAAAGATGGAGGAACTCCTAAACTGCTTATATACCGTGCTAGCACTCGAGCATCAGGGATTCCAGATCGTTTTTCAGGCAGTGGATCAAACTCTGCCTTCACTCTGACCATCAGTGGAGTCCAGACTGAAGATGCAGCAGTTTACTACTGTCAGAGTTTACATAGCATCAACAGTCAGTATGTGTTCACACAGTGAAAAAGCGTCGTACAAAAACCTCCCTCAGTCAGACTGAACAGAAACTGAACTGACTGCTGCAGCTGGAAGTTTCTGCAGAGACTGACACACTTCACTGAAGCAGCTCAGACATGATAAAGACCTTAAAAATCAATCAGCCCTCATATTTGTTTTGGATTATAAACCTCATTGTAAACGCACTTAAACACACAGTGTGTGTGTGTGTGTGTGTGGTGTGTGTGTGTGTGTGTGTGTGTGTGTGTGTGTGTGTGTGTGTGTGTGTGTGTGTGTGAGATCATTCAGTTGACAAAAGGTCGTTTTTAAGGCTCAATACTCTAGGCCTCAAGGCCCATCAAGACTTTTTGGATGAAGTCAAATGTATTGGCCAAGTCTTTCGGGTAACTTAGATGTAGCCCATAAATAAGTGCAAAAAGCATGACAAATGCATCAGAAAATGTTGGGAAATCGACAACTGTGTTACCCTCAAGCACAACGGCAACCTTCTCGGGGCAGAATACCGCAGCATCTGTTGAAGTGGCACTGATCAGGAGGAGCCCAACTGGTATGTTGTCGATTTGCAGTTCATCTGACAGGGCCTGCTAAAGACAAGGACAGAGAAATGTTACAAATCAACTGCCTAAGCTTCAGTGTTTCCCATAGAATGACAATGTACCAAAAGCTGTTCATGTTTCTTGATCAGCGGAAAAATATGGAAAGTACACTACCCTATTGCTATTCAGGGATTTCTTAATTCACCACTTTAAATGTAGTAATTATCCCCTTTTTTGTTTTTTTGGCCTCAAAACAATCAAAGCTAAATGGTACTGAAAGACAATGACTCAACTGACAAGCTTTTTTAAACAATCACTATATTGCATTTATTCTCACTATAGATGTTGATATTGTTTAGCATACTATTCCAGCTCTGCAGGTTTTAAATGGAATTTTAAAAACTGCAGCATGAATTGAGGTTTGACCAGTAAATGCAAAGTTTAATTACTAATTCCTCACAGGTAAGATTAAGCCTACTGTAGATGTTGCAGGACAATTATTACTATATTAATCTTTTTCACTTTTAATATCATGGCAATCATACACCAAAATGACAGCATCTGAATAAAACAGATGAAATATATAACATGTTCAACAGATTCATTACAAGTCTTAATAATATGCTGAAATCCGGAGTCATCCTCATGCAGATATGTAGGGAGAGCACGGAGGACGGCAGCACGGAGGACATTGACGTCAACTTGTTCCTTAAGTATGAGAAAACACATCATCTTAATTTGAAATGCCAAACAGGGAAGGAACAGAATTTATCACAAGAAATAGCCCTATATGATGTATTTGAATACGATTAGGTAATGCCTACCAAACTGTCAAATGACAATATCAAAAGAGGAACACTTGATGACATTTATTGTTTCTATTGTTGGTCGTGTTTTTTCCAAACAGTCTTTCACGATAGAAGACTGTCAGCTATCAACGATGGCATCATCATTTGGCCCTAATGTAATCTGAAGATAGGGAGTTCCAACAGGGTTCTATTATTATCATGCATGAAGAAGGATAATCAACTCACCTGGCGGTCATAAGTGTTGAAGAGCTGATCCAGGACTTCAGACACCTTCCCTGTGCGCGCAGCTTTCTTCCTGAACAAACTCTGAAGACGAGGGACATGTCTGTCTAACTCAGAATAGAAGTGGTTCTTCAGGTTGATGTTTGTGATTCTGTGAAACTCTGCACAAATCTGTAAAATAAAAATGTGACATTGAAGTGCATTTGTATCTCAAAAGAAAAAGGAAAATGAAGTTGTAAAACATTACATTACAAAACGTGTTTAAACATTATGTACTGTCGCATTATAAATGTCAAAACTTTACATTTGTTAAATGCTTGTCAGACTAAGTGACTGATGTTGAGATCCCTACACTTCCCTATCACATACAAAGAAAAAAAAACTCACCTGTGACTCCATCTTTAGGGCAGGCCAGCGCTCCAGGATCTCTCCAACAGGCAAGTCATCATTGATGACCTCTTTGCGTCGCAGGGAAAAGGTGGTCTGCATCAACTTTGCAATCAGAGGGAGGTTTTTGTCAGTCCTTATAACTTCATCTACAATCTGGAGTCTCTGTCGCTCAAGGCTTGAACCATCTTCTCCTTTTGGAAAGTTGGGGAGAAAATTCACTTCTGCCCTTTTTGGTCTCTTTATGTCAGTGTGGGGAGATTGTTTGTCAGGGTTGTTTCTGCTTCTCTTTCCAGAATTTACAGCTACCTCACTATATCCTGCCCGACTCAACTTAGTGTGGAAGTTACCCATCTTAAACTTCAGACTATTTTTCCAACCATACCATCCTGTCTGCGTTCCTGGTTCTTTAAGACAAGGATGGGTGGTGACAAGCGCTTCTGCAACCACTGAAATGTCTTTATCACTGGGATATGCTTTAAAGCTATGCATTTTGGATGCAAGGGTTTCAAGAATGTCATGATTCTGTCCCCTTGATAACTTCAGGGTTTTCCCTGTTCTCTCATGATTCAAATTTCCCTCAACAAGTATGAGTTCTACTTCATAAGAAAAAGCTGGCACTGGACAAACATCCGGCCATCTCTGGGTCCTTTCTGGAGTCATTGCATGAGGCAATATTATTGTGTCATCAGATGCAATTGAACTGGCATCACTCTGAGATCTTACAAGTTTAAGTACTGCCTTCTGTGGAAGCTCTTCAATGTCTATAAGGGAACATAACTGCCCGTCAAAGTCTGGATCTTCATATGATAGCAAAAATCAAAGTCTATCTCAAACTTTTCTTTTGTCATTTTTTCAAGCTCAGTCACAGATTCTGGACATGAAGCCAAAGTCATCTTCCTGACAATGTCCATGGAAGTATGTATGTGAAGATTACCTATTAAAACGAAGAGAGGGGAGAGAACGGATTAACTAATAGCATTCAACAATGCATACACAATAGGTATTTGTGTGAAACAGTTATAGACAGATATTATTCACCTAAAAGCTAGGGTTTGAAAAACATTACAGTTGTAGCAGGTAAGTCTTTCTAGGCTTGTAATGTTAGTAAACGTAACTGGCATATCAAATTTTAGTTTACCTGTCTTACTTTGCTACACACTGTTCCATGAGGCCATATGGTTCTTCACTTCTGATAACATTTTACACCTGGATTTCTCTGATCAAAATAAATCTTTTTTGTGTCAGTATTAAGTGTCCATCTATGTTGTATGCAGACAAACTTACTGTGTCATTTAGTTCTGACAGCTCGATGACAGAGCAGGTGTCTGAGGATGTCAGCTCAAATCACCTCAAATGCTCTCTGTACCAGCTCTCGTAGTTTCTGCAAAGAAAAGAAACAGAGTTATTCACAAGCAGTGTTTGGTCAGTCTCCAGCCTGGCCTGCAGAAACATACATACCATTAGCATACTCTGTGCCATCAATGGACACCTGTGTTGTACTGTATATGTTTTGGCTGTCTGTCTTTGTTCTTATAAAGTCTTTTGCCACTTGAGGCAGTGTGGCAACGTGGACAGAGGTGACACTCGAAGATTGTGTGTGGGGTTTGAAAAATAATGGTGCACTTCAGTGATACGCCATCATGTGCTGATGCCTAGTGGCAAGAGTTCTCAAGACAGTCTTGAAATTGTGTGTGTCCTGTATCACTCTTTTAAAAAAGCGATGTTTTCCCTCGAACCTCATTGTCCAAAGGTGAACAAGAGGCCCAAAGCGCCTTGTCATTTCTGGGTAGTGCTCAACATAATGATGCTTGGGTCTGAGCTTAAAGTCTGGAAACACTGCTTGAAGTCCCTGTCGATGATCACTGATTTTAGTCTGCATGTACTGTAAAGACTCCTCTGTGAAAGATGGAGACAACACCAGCTGCACTATTTCTTTGAGGTCCAACAATATGGCCCATGTTTCATCTCCTTCAGGGACTTTACTTCCTACCAGTAGTGGTAATAACCTAAGCAAAGTGGAATTTTCATGCCCGTTTGGCAGCAAAAGTCTTTGGAATTTGTTGCGGTTTATCAAGCCTATCAGTGTGCTGATCTGGAAATGTGTGAATTCTTGTGTTTAGATATTCAAGTGTGAAATACTTCAGGCAAATCATCTCACGGATGCACAAGGCCATCTCAACTGGCACGACACCCTCAAAGAGGTCGTGAAGAATATCAGGTGGAAAACCAGTGATGGGATGAAAATGCTGCAATGCCATGCTGAGAGCACACTGACCTTTAACACCTAAGTGATTTGCTTTGTCTTCTTCCACAACATTCTGCACATGAAGATCATGGGAGGCCCTTGTTCTCATGCTAAACTCCCCTTCAGAAACGTCAGTGCACTGTTTCTGGTCTGCAGTACAGCAACAAAATCAGGGACAGTTTCAGCTCCCCTGTTTCAGACAATAACTGATTTTCTTTGAAATATGTTCCATCTTCATGAGACATGTAAATTCCTGGTGGAGACGGTTTTGCCTCGTGAGTTTTTTCAAGAAGATCAGTAGTTTTAAACATTGTTTGAATCATCTGAAGAATGGGAACACACACTGCTGTGTGTTCACTGGAATCAAAAGTGTATTGCACTGGCATTACCAAAGGATAGTTACTCCTCACAAATGTTTCCCTCCGCTTAGCAGTGGACAGTTCCGCACCTTCTGAAGTAGCATTGACAAAACATTAGTTTTCATGATAGCCTCCTCTAGGTCATGAAGAAGGGCCCCACTGACAGACAGATCATGCTCTTGTAAACTATTGACAACAGCTTCTCTCACAACAGGTTTGGACAAAGTGAATATTTGT